CCATACCCCCCACCCCCTTCACCCACCTTTTCCTCCCCTCTCCCAAACCCCACCGTTCAGACGTCAGTAAATCTGTAATTCTCGCCTCGCTTGCTTCAACAGAGCCCATATGTTCTGATTACGCGATCCCCTGAAGGAGAAGAGTCCGAGTTCAATCAAGGGACGTCGCGATTGCCGTTAGTCCGCTCGCCATTGGTCAAGAGCTGAGATTACGCAGCGTTTAGAGGTGGCCAAGAATTGTTTTTAGACGCGCAAGTTCTTCAGCATGGCAGATCCAGTCGGCCATTCGCCAGGGGGCGAGGGTTCAACAACTACTAATACGATCAGCAATCACGAAACACCTGCAAGTCCTAGGCCCAGAACGAGTAGAACTGGCAGAGAGGAAAGACGCCATAAGTACAACCAGGAGAATCATCAGCAGTCTGGGTCTGTTGAGCGAAAACGACATAATCAAGAAGGTGGCGTTGGTGACAAGGGTCAGAAGAGAAGCAGCGGCTCGCAGTCTTCCTCGACTTCTCCTTCCCCTGGGTACAGAAGAGTTGTCATCGTAGGTTTCGACAACAGCGACAGGAACGAGAATCGAAAGAGCATCGGCTCCGCTACAGATAAAGTGGCCGTCGAACGGCGTGCTTTCGGACCGTGGCTCAAACCGGACCCGCTCCGACAGCAGAAGCTTGTCGAACGTCTTGCCCCCCATAAAATCCCCGCTCGCCCCGACCCGAGATTCGACTCGTGGGTTAACCACTTTCAGTACTACGAGAACATCGGCGTGGACGTCAAAAGGAGAAGATCGGCCAACAACAGTCCGTCTCGACCGCAGACCTCACCCCAGTCCGGAGGCGGAGGCACCGCCAACGGTTTCCACGACAACCAGAACGGTTACCATAGCGACGGTAACGGTTTGTACCTCACCCAATATCATCGCCTGCTCATCAAGCGTCCGCGCACGACGCGTGGGACTCTGAGGGATAGAGACGGCGGCGGCGGGGGCGACAGCAACAACAACAACAACCACAACAGCAACAGCAACAGCATGAACAGCAGCAACAGCGACAACGCGTTCGAGGAGGTGCCGGCGAGCACACGAGAAGCCTACTCCAGAGGGCCAGGCGACAGGAAGCTGGCGTCCTCCAGACATTCCCACAGCTCCGGCTTCCCCAGGGGAGCTCACAACAGGGGAGGTTCTGAGTCTGACAGCAGTCGGGTGAGTCGGGCTTTATGTTTGGTTTTTGTTTTGTTTTGTTTGGGGTTTTTTCGTTTTATTTTGTGCAATGCTTTGTTTTTGCACTTTCTTTCCTATAAAACGTGGATCGTCTTTATCCCCCTTCCTTCTTTTTTGTGTTTGTTACTCTCTTGTTGTAACACCTCTAATCTTCGGCACTTATGTTATATGGCCTTATTGTGTTGCAAGTACCGTAAAACTCTTACTGAAACTAACTTTCCTTTGTTTTGTTACTGTTTTTGTTGAATTTTTGTCCAGTGTCCCTTTTTCCGGGGCCCTTGCCACGAGCTACCTTTTTTCGTATTACACAACCATTTACTATATGAGAATGTCAGAGCAGAGTGATTAATTGGTCGCGGACTAACCCAGATTTCGGAGGTTTTCAGAAATCTTCACCTATACCAAAACTGTGAATTGTCGTCATGCCTTACCTGAGAAGTTTGGTTTTGTTGGTGTGTATATTGTTTGGTTTTAGAGAAAACTCTCCATGTCTTTTAAAGAAACTGAACAAGGGGAAAAAACTTTACCTTCGATTTTCTCAAAACAGCATTTTTCAGGATAGCCCCCTTAAAACTTGTGCTTAAAAGAGACGAATTGTTTTCTTGATTTTTGCTTAACCATACTAATAATGTGTTACTTTTTCGGGTGGCACATTAATGATTTTGCGGGAAAAAATTAATGTAATGTTTTGTTGTTTCTTTTGTAGTTTGGTTGGTTTTTGCTTTGGTTTTTTCCCCAAACGACATAATTTAGATCATTTAAGCTACGTCGAACCTGCATGTCAGGGACTACCCGGTCTAAACGTAATGCAACTTTCAAGAAAAAAAGACCGAGATTCCCGATAAAAATTCTCCTCGCACAGAAAACGAACCCGGGTCTCCTGCATGCGACAGACAAGCTGCTAACTACGACACCACCGACGCTGGTTTAATGATATTCTTTGTGTCAGAAAGCCATTGGAAATGAGAATGTGAGTCCTGAGTAGAAAAAACAAAACAATAAAATGTTAACACTAAAAGAAAACAGGTGGATATGGCTGATTGAATTTAATATATGTGAGGCAGCGTGGTGGAATCAGGCTCTCGTCAAAATAATCAAAGTGAAGAAACTGGCATTTTTCCGCAGGTTTGTAAATTTTTATCAAAGTTTTGTTTTTTGTGCTCAACGCCTTTTATGGCCATTGAAGAACTCATTTCTGTGAGGATTTTTACTGAAAAACGTTGATTAAAGGCACAATAGATGTAAATTTTCAGTCACCATGGACTTTTAAGCTAAGGAATTAACTAATCTTTGGCGGCCAT